AAATGTAAACCCCCCTAAACCCTCATAACTAAATCCTAATAGAACATAGTTAACCCAAACATAAATAATATAAAAAAAAATAATTTTGAAAAAGTGGCATTTTTTGTAAAAATTTCAAAAATGTGACATTTTTGTAAACTGGAATTTGAAAAATGGCATTTTTTGAAATTTCTCTAATTTTTTGTTTTGATTGGATCGTGCCATCCCATTTGTATCTATAAATAGAGTTAACATCTTTGTTTACAACATAAACTTAATTAAGAATTATTTCTTATCACTCACTTAAGACAAAAGCCCTATATCCTCATATATAGCATATAAGAAGATGGCGAGATTTAACATTTCTATGAGCATATTTGTTGCCCTAGTTGCCACGAGTGCATATGTTTCCTACATTTGCTGTAGACGAAAATGAGCCAAAGAAGTTATGGGATCAATGTGTTGTTCAAATCAGTCCAAAGTGTGCATTGGAAATAATTGATCAAGTTTTTGGAAATGGAGTCGTCTCTGATTCTTGCTGCCGGGAACTTGTCAAAGAAGGAAAAGAATGTCATGATAAGCTTATCAAATATATTGCGGATAGACCTAGTTTGAGTGCAAGCGAACCCAAATACCTAAAGAAAAGAGATGAATTATGGGCGACATGTGTAGCTGTCTCAAAAACCATTTAGGTTGTTTATGTATGTTCTAACATAATGATATCTGATTTTTTTAATTATTTATGGTGCATCATGCATCTTGTATCTTGCATTTATATTAATCACTACAAAAATATTCTCATTTTAGGTACATTGCCAAACTATACAATATAACTAAATAATTCTAAGTATCTTCCAAGATCTCCTAACAGAAATAGTTTCCAACACAATAGTACAAAAAATTAGATAGCTTAATGAAGAAAGCTTTCTTGAAATCTAAGTTTGGTCATTACGATTGTCCGTTGCAAGAATATTTAAGTATAGCCACACATTCTGGCTTTACCACGGTAGCATTTGTTGAAGCTTCACTCCTTTCAGAACATTGTTCTCTTGATGACACGTCTTATGGACCTATGGTTATAACTTTTCATGAAAGTCTTGTACTGCCTCATAGTACTTGCATCATCATAACACTTTATATGTCTATATTGAGCGCACAGACACAAAAATCTTCACTCTCAGTATAAGCATGCTCACTCTATGCGAAATTCAATAACGAGTTAAAACCATTAATTCCATTATGATAAACATAATTTCCCGCTAGATCTAATCTTTTATATATCCATTATCATTTTGAAAAGTTATCTCAGTTAAAAGACATTTCGTTCGACCTAGTTTTAGCGATACATTAATGTTGTTGTGTCTGCGAATATGAAACAACATAAAATGTGTGTTTATTCTACTATATAATTTTAAAAAACATGGCCGTAGAAAACCACCGATTTTGTGGTGGCTCACTAATACATCATTATGTGTAACATGGCATCTAGAGTTGTATGTTCTTTGGGTTTGTAGAATTGATTCTGAGAAATTAGCCCATAATTTATTTTAAAATTTTACTTTTGATAAAAATTTTATTTTCATATATGTAAATGAATTTATTTAATATCCATAAATTAACGCTTCTCATGGTTTAATTAATGACAATGTAAAGAAACAAACAACTACTGTAACATTATAAAACTAGTTAATGGAAAAAAGGGGTTAAAAATGCAATTACACAAATATGTAAATGTAAATTAAACTTGTTAATCTAGTAAGCAATAAAACGTCAAGATAATAATTAATTTAACAAGATAAATGTTTCGTTTTGATTAGAGTGCCATCCCATTTGTATCTATAAATAGAGTTGTCATCTTTTTTCAAAGAACAACATAAACTTAAGAGTTATTTCTCACCTCTCACATTTAAGATAAAAGCCTTAAATCCTCATAGAGCATATAAAAAGATGGCGAAAATGAACGTTTGTATGATGTTTTTTGTCGTCCTATTTGCGACGAGTGCATGGGTCGTCCATACATTTGCTGTAGATGAAAATGAGCCAAAGAATTTATGGGATAAATGTGTTGTTCCAATCAGCCCAAAATGTGCATTGGATATAATTGATCAAGTTTTTGGAAATGGAACCGTCTCTGATTCCTGTTGCCGGGAACTTGTCAAAGAAGGAAAAGAATGTCATGATACGCTTATCAAATATATCGCCAATAGACCTAGCTTAAGTGCAAGCGAAACCAAGTACTTAAAGAAAAGGGATGAATTATGGGCTCAATGTGTATCAGTCTCAAAAACCGTTGAGATGGTGTAAATATG